GAGGGCAGGTGGGTCGGGGCAGCTGCCCTGCAGCAGGCAGTGCAGACGGCATCTTGGCAAGAAGAGGAGGATCCGGGTGCAGAGAGCAGGGACCGGTCATCGGGCGGCTCAGGAACAGGAGGGATTTCGACCTTAGGAAGAACTGGTGAATGAAAAGAGGTCCTAGTCTTGCAGGAATGGAGGCTGCGGAAGCAGGTGCTTCGGCAAAAGGGAGCCAGCAATCGGTTATTGGCACAAAACAGGGACCGGGCGCCGTCCAGGCCTGGGGGGCAGGTGAAGGCCGTGTGGGCTGTGGCTGGCAGTGCGGGCGGTCACGCGCTTTGGGAAGCGAGGGGTAATGCTTCCCCGGGTTCCTGGAACTAACGTCCCGATGTTCCTGAAGTGGGGGCGCACGCAGCACTTCCACACGGAGCTCAAGAAGGGTGGTTCGGAAAGATCTGGTTGCCAGTTTAATGATCACTACAGTCTTTTAAAAAAGCATTTATTCGGGTGGAAATTCTCAGTTACACACGGACAGCAAGCTGAGGGCTCGGTCATCCTCTTGCTTTTTCCCAGTCTCATCCCCACACAAACCAGTTACTCACACACATGTGTGCACACATGTGCACACACATGCGTGCACACATGTGCACATACACCCCTGCGCACACATGCACACACCAGCTTTCCTGAACAAAGGGGCGATTACTTTTGTTGGTGGCTGATTACTCTCGCAGTCCCACGGGAGTATTGGATTGGTGATATGTTGTTTCGGTTCTATTGATGATCGTCATAATAAATGGTCGCACGGGAGGAAACGGTGAGCCTTTCTGGGAGGCTGGGGTGACGTTGACACTTTGTGCCTCAGGCCAGAAGTTACCGGATGTTTCACGACGACAGCATGAAGTCGTTCTTCCGGCGACTGAGCTTCACTCCCGACGGCTCCCTGCTGCTCACCCCAGGTGCGTGGAGCCGGGCTCGCGGGGCGGGTGCAGGGCGGGCCCGCGTGTCGCCTCCGGGAATGCCAGTGTCACATAGAAGGTGTGGGTTAGAATAAGGCGAAAATTGGAGTAAAATATAAGAGGAGGGAACCCAAGGAGGGTGGGAGAGGGGGAAAAAGAAAGCGTTAGTTGCTGTGCAAGATCTCTTTCATGAGTAGTTGACTAAGAGAAGCAAAATAAGGAAAAGTCTAAATAACACCCCATTTTATAAAGTAAACTACAGCCCACCATGTGTGTATATATGGTTGCCACGGTTACGTGAGCCTGGAGGGAATGCAGGGCTGGCGAGGTGTTTGTCAGAGTGGATCCTGGGGATGGAAGGATGGGGCAAGATGCTGCTGCCCTCCTGGTGGATGCGCAGTGGTCACATGTGAGAGAATGTGTGTGTGTGTGTGTGTGTGTGTGTGAGCGTGTGCAGCAGGAGAAGACAAGGAGACGTGTCCAAGAGCAGCCGTGTCTGCAGGTCGCTCTCGCCGGGTCTGGCTGTGCCAAGTGCGGCCTGGGGAGGGTGGAGTGGAGACGTCAGTGGGGCGGCCAGAGCCGGTCAGCTCTGCAGGGCTGGGGTCTCGGCAGAGGGCTGTCTCCTGGCAGCTCCTGGCTCCGTCAGGCAGACGGGAAGAGGCCAGTCTCAGCCCTCGGACTGGACGGCAGCTGAGGTGGGGATGCAGGCACAGAGCTTTATGTTCTTCCTGCCCTGGCCTGGGCGTGGCTCCGGGCGGCTGTGCCCTCAGGTGAGAGGAAGGTGGGTGGAGCCAGAGTGAGGCTGAGCCCAGGTGTGCGGAAGGTTTGTATTTGTCCCAATCGCACACACACTGTCCAGGGAGTCCATCTCTCAGGAAAATGACTTTAAACCAGAATTGGCTGCCTTGGGTTTGCTGGTGGACAGTTTAATAACAGTGCCTCCCCTGCCTCCCAGCCGGATGCGTGGAGTCTGGCGAAAATGTAACCAACACCACGTACCTCTTCTCCAGGAAGAATCTGAAAAGGTGAGCGCCTGAAGGACTGTCGGGGACGTTGGCCCTCTCTCTGCTTTTGTTGAGCATGGTCTCTCTAACCCATGATTCGCCTCCAGGCCTGTGGCGCATCTCCCGTGTCCCGGAAAAGCCACGCTTGCTGTCCGCTGCTGCCCCGTCTACTTTGAGTTGAGGCCGGAGGCGGAAACAGGTACATCAGAACCCAGTGGTGTGCTGTGTCTCCCGTCGGGCCCCTCACCAGGGTGGGTGGGGTTTGGATTTTATCTCAGGGGCCTCGGGGAAAGGTGGGCATGTGGGTGTGGCTCAGTTTAGTTACTCGGAGGAGTTGGAACAGAGACTGATGTTACCAAACTGTGTACCCACTGTCTTTGCTTAGAGCAATTAAAAAAATATATATGTATGTATTGATATCAGAGAGAGGGAGAGAGAAACATCAATGATGAGAGAGAATGATTGATTGGTTGCCTCTTGCACGCCCCCTATTGGGGATCAAGCCTGCAACCCAGGCACGTACCCCGACTAGGAATTGACCGTGACCTCTTGGTTCCTGGGTTGACGCTCAACCAGTGGCTGGGCATCTCTTTCCTGTTCCTCCTTGGGCCCCGGGTTGCTTCCCTAACCGCGTGCACTGGCCAGTGTTCAGCTCAGACGACAACCCCGCAGGTCTCTGCTGCAGCCTGGAGCCTCGCTCTGGCCCCGCAGTTCAGGGCACGTGCGGGCATTGCCGGGTCCCCTCCCTCTGTTGGGCCTGGAGACCAGGCGGTGAGCTGAGGCTGCGGCAGCACTTCACGCCTTTGCTCCCCACCGCTCGGGGGTTGCTGGCCTTCATTGCTGCTGGGCAGTCAGTGTCTTAAGAAGTCAGAGGCTAAATTGGGGCCCTGTTACTCCAAGGCTGGAAGCGGGAGCTGTTTTTCACTCTCTAAACTCTTATGCGAATGAATATAATGAACTGGAAAGAGCATGAAAACATCACTTGATACAATGTTTCCATGTGACCCTGTATTTCCTTATCAGAAATGCTCTTCCTTTTGCACCTCGGTGCCCGGGATTCTTGGATCCTGTCATGTGTCATTGGTTCATGCATAGTTCTCGTTCATTCCTGCATCTATATATATAAAAGCCTAAACGACCGTTACCACTGAATGACTGCAATGACTGGTCGCTATGATGTGCACTGACCACCAGGTGGCAGACACTCAATGCAGGAGCTGCCCCCTGGTGGTCAGTGCGCTCCCATAGCCAACCTCCCTTGGCCGGCAGCCGGCCAACCTCCCACGGTCCCTCTCCCCTCCTCCACCACCCCTGCACGAGTTCGTGCACCGGGCCTCTAGTTCATATATAAAATAATAGGAAGACCTAAATCCCTTTGCACGTCATTAGAGGAATTACATCCCATATGTCCCGGGGAGAGGGCTCGTGGCGGGAGTTGGTGGTTCCTGCGGGAGCCTGGCTGGTGCTGGTGTCACTGTCCTTCCTGCCCCGTGTCCTGCAGACGGGCCGGCCCAGGGGCCGCTGGTGCGCCTGCCCTACCGCGTGGTGTTCGCTGTGGCTTCCGAGGACTCCGTGCTCTTCTACGACACCCAGCAGCTCTTCCCTTTCGGCTACGTGTCCAACATCCACTACCACACCCTGAGCGACATCTCCTGGTGAGCGGCCGGGCCGGGAAGGGGGCGCGGCAGCGCACAGACGCGGTCTCGGCCGCGTGTTCCCTGCAGAGGACGCTGCGACCTGGCCTGACTCCGTTTCTAACTACAGTGAGAGCGGGACGAGGGCCGCAGACTTAGTAAAATTAACCCTTTTCTCCTGCTCTGGGGACAAAGGTCCAGCGACGGGGCCTTCCTGGCCATTTCCTCCACCGATGGCTACTGCTCCTTCGTGACCTTTGAGAAGGGTGAGCTTGGAGCACCTTTCAAAGAGAAGCCGGATCTGAGCACGAGAACTCCTGAGACGGCGAAGAAAACCAAGCGTCAGACCCAACAGGAGTCCTCGCCGGGACCCAGGCTGGGGGAGGGCACCCCCGCCAGCAGAATCCCAGACCCCGGCAGCCCCTGCCCAGCACCCGCTCCGGGGAAGCCGTCCGCAGCCCCAGCACCCAAGGACTCGCCCTCCACGGCTGCCACCGCCAGGGGCGCGGCGCCCAGGCCCTCGGAGGAGAAGAGCCCGCCCAGCAGTCAGACCACGAAAGCGCCCCCGCCCCGGAGGGTCACCCTGCACACCCTGCAGGCCTGGAGCAAGACACCCCGGTAAGGACCGGATGGAGATGCCGACGGTCATCCCGCCCCGCCCCTCCCCCGTCAGCACGACTCTGCTGCTCCAGAGTTTTCTTTCTTTAAAATATGTTTTTATTGGTTTCAGAGAGGAAGGGAGAGGGAGAGAGAAACATCAGTGACAGGAGGGAATCATTGATCGGCTGCCTCCTGCACACCCCCTACTGTGGATCGAGCCCACAAGCTGGGCATGTGCCCTGACTGGGCATGTGCCAGGACCCTTCAGCCCAAGGGCCGATGCTCTAGCCATTGAGCCACACCAGCCAGGGCTCCAGAGGTTTTTTAACCTCATTCCGAGCTGCCTCCTGGCTCACACACCTGGGGGTTCCCCACTTCCTACCTGTTGCACAGGTGTGGCTCCACCCGCAGGCCGGGACTGTCCGCGGTCACTCCCCTTTCCCGGTGCCTTCCTCTCCAGCCCAACCTGGAAAGCCAGGTCCCCAGAGCACACTCGGCCTGGGGCCTCTGACCCACCTTCCTCCGGACGCCCCGACACTGCTCCCCGGGGACACTCGCGTCTTCCATCAGCCCTTCCCTCTGTCACACTCACATTCGGGCCGGGGTTTCGTTTCTGCTGTTCCCCGTGAGGTATAAGCCCCTCTGGCCCAGCACAGTGGCGGGCACTGCGCGGTGAGGGGCGCCTTGAGGCGTCTTGCCACCAGCAGACGGTGCCTGGTGAGCAGGGAGTCTCTCGGCCGGCAGAGCATCCCGGTGGCGCAGTGGTGTGTGCCCCGGTTCTCGTCAGGCAGCCGCAGAGGTGCCCGAGGTCCCGCCGCCGCTGCAGAGAGGACAACGCCCGCCCCTGACCCCCTAACCCCCAGCCCCTAGCTCCCAGCAGCTGTGCTGCCCAGTTTCTTCCCTGGACGTCGGGGAAGTTACCTCCTGGCTCCATCTGCTGCCTGCTCACCGGTGCCCCACCTCCCGGCCTTCTAGACAGACTGCACCTTCTGTCTAGACAGGCTCCTGGGGGCCGCTGGGCGGGAGGCGGAGGTGACAGAAGGTGCTGGAAGCACTGCTCACTCATGTAACTTTGCCGGCGGGTCCACCGTGGGGGTTGGGGATGTCCGGCCCCAAGTCGGGTCTCTGCAGACCAGCGATGCTTGGTTTCTCTTCTGTGTGTTTTCGGGGCGGAGGGGAACGTGTTCTGTGAAATATTTTGGGTATTTAAGTTTTCCCCGCTTAGTGTCTTGCAAGCTTCTTGCAGTTGTTAATTTTGAAAAAGGAATAGTTGTTGGACATTGAGGTTGTGGGTTTTAGAAAGAACGGCCTGTAGGGGGAAGCCTTCTGAGCAGGGCTGGGCGCACACTGGTGGCCGGCTGAGGGGTAAGCTGGCGTCAGGGCTGTGGTGACGTCAGCGTGGTGGTGACGTCACGTGACCAGCATGATCCTTGGTCACGAAGCCCGCAGGCGTGTCTCCGTGCATATAAACGCCTTGCGAGACATGAGCAGCTGCTACCTCAGGCGCCTCGTCTGGGTGGTTTTGGAATGTGGTGTCAGACACAGTTCCTGCCACACGGATTCACCATGCGCCCTTCTCTTCTTCTAATCAGGAGAGTGACCGTGATGCCCTTGAAGACGGATGCCCCGAATTCTGCGCCAGGCGGTGTGGTTTCCGCCCCGCCCATGGAGGTCCAGCCAGGTGAGGGATCTGGTCCTGGTTCCATGTCCTCGAGGGCAGAATATCTTCCCTTTTCTTTTGGAAATGAACGTCCACTCATTTTACGTCGGTTCTGAGAAAGCGAGGATGCACCTGACTGGCCCCCGCAGACTCACTGGCCTGTTTATTCTCGGGGAGCCCGCTTCCCCGGGAGCACAGGGGGCTGGGTGCTGCCAGCAGGGGGTGCTGGGGTGCCTCTCGGCCTCGGTGCTGCTCACACACTAGGCAGGTCAGGCTTGGTGGTGGGGCTGTCCTGTGTGGCAGGGTGTTCATTTGCACCCCCAGATGTTCCCATCCCCCACTCCTGACGTTCTAACCTGTCACCAGCTCGCCCGCTGTCCTGGGAGGCACAGTGTCCCTGGGGTTGAGAATCACTGGTGTAGACTCTCCATTCTAGGCACATAGGACCTGCCAGGCAGTTTACTCCTTGTCTGGGCACAGAATTTTAAAACATATATATTTTTATTGATTTCAGAGAGGAAGGGAGAGGGAGAGAAAGATAGAAACATGAATGATGAGAGAGAAGCATCGATCAGTTGCCTTCTGCACGCTCCACACTGGGGACCAAGCCTGCAACCCGGGCATGTGCCCTTGACCGGAATCGAACCCGGGACCCTTCAGTCCGCAGGCCGACGCTCTGTCCATTCAGCCAGACCAGCCAGGGCCAGGATGTGTTGTGTAGCATCAGCTCTTCACTTAAGTCTTGCTTACTTCGCAGCCTTGTCGGTGAACGTTTCAGAGCCGCCTGGAGACGTGCAGGTCAGCTCCCCGGAGCGGAAGCGGCCCAGGCTCGCCGAGGACAGAGGCGGCGCCCAGGGGCGGGAGCCGGGGGGAGACCTGGCTTGTGCTTGAAGGCTGCACGGCTGGGGACTCCCAGCGCTCAGGGAAGGGCCGACGACCCCAGTTCGGGCCGTCAGAGGAGCCTGGCGGGCCCCCAACCTGATTCCTGGACCAAGTTGCACGTGGCCGGCGTCCCCCAGCGAAGGGTCTGCTCCTGCCTTCGCGTGAGTTTCCCTGAGACGCGGACATGTCACCGGGCCAGCCGTCCCCTGACGCGTTTCCGGAGCTGGACCCGTCGAACATTGTCCGGTGTGAACACCGGTCGCTCCTCCCTGAAACCCTGCGGGAGTGAGACCCTCACGGGGCCAGTGAATGCCGGGTGTTCGAATGGTTATTAGATTTCCCTTGTACATAGTGGGTTAACTTTTGTTTGTTCTATTTGCATTCTGATTGTAAAGGTGATGCTCGTTCTAAACAGTTAGTAAACCGGCGTGAAGGGGAAGAGCAGGTGGGGATAGGGAGCTTCGTCCTCCCACCCCCTGCTTTGGCATAAAGACTTTTATTCTTTTTAAGGAGAGAGGTGAGATTTTACTTGAGATACAATTTGGTATCCAAATAGGTTAACTTTTTAGGTTGATTTTTCAAAGAAGTAACTTAGTCATTTACGCCTGTGCCTCTGCTTTCTCCGTCCAGGGTGAGGGTGGGAGGGGGAGGGCGGGGGTGGGGTGGGGGTGACAGGTCTCCGTTTCTGTTGGGCAGACTGTGAAGTGGGGCTGTCGCTGCAGGAGGCACGGGGTGGGTGTCCAGCGGCGGCCCGCGTGTGGCGGGTGGCTCCCCACTGAGGAGCTGGCGCTGAGAAGAGCTGTCACCGGGAATGTCCGGCAGGGCCTGATGCCTGTCACTTTGGCGTGATGAACGCGAGGCACGCAGGTGAGGGTGCTGCCCCCGGGGCTGCCTTCTCCTCGGGTGACCGCAGCGTGAATGTGGGTGAGGGGCCAGGAGCTGCCCACCAGTCTTGGACAAGGACTAGGAGAGGCTCTTTAACTCAAGTCAGCAGCAGCAAAGAAAAGAATTGGGCCCGGCTGGTGGGCTCAGTGGTTAGAGCGCCGGCCTGTGGACCAGTGGGTCGCAGGCTCAGTTCCCAGCCCTGGTCCGAGCACATGCGGGAGGCAACCAACTGATGTGCCTCTCACATTGATGATTCATTCTCTCCCTCTCCCCCTCCTGCCCTTCCTCTCTCTCCCTCCTCCCTCCCTTCCACTCTCTCTAAAAATAAATGGAAAAAATATCTGAGCCATGCCGGCCGGGCTAGTCATGTCTGTTTTGACCAGTGGTTCTCAAGCTTAGCTGCACATTGAGGTCCCTCGAGGAGTTGATACCTGGGTTCTTCCCAGCCCCTCCCGGGACTCTGACGCGCAGCCGCTGCTGGGGATGGGGAGAGGGGAGGCCTCCGTGGAGATGCTCTGTCCGGAAAGCTTTCTGCTGCTCTGCTTCCTCAGACGGATGGGACGGGAGAGCTTGTCTGGGCTTCAGGCTGAAGGGGTGACAGGCGGGTGTGCTGCCCGCTCTTTAGGGGAAAGGTTGCCTTCAGCGTTCTGTGGCTGGAGGGACGCCCCTGGGCCGACAGGACCACGGTGGGTCCCGTGTTCTTGGGGGCACCCCGTGGAGAGCACATGCGATCCTCATCTCACGTCTGTCTCTGCAGCAGGAATGGAGGGTGCGGCACTGCAGTATGGACTGTTTGTAGGTG